TAAAATTTATCTTAAAAAGTAAACAACTAAGTAAGACAATCGGTAATAAGGCAATCTAATCTGCACTAAGATATAAAGAAAACTGAGAACCAGGAAACCTATCTGTTCATTGTACGGAACTAAAATCGGTATTTTTTGCCGCCAGATTGGCATCCGTCGTATATATATATTCAATTAAACACATACTGGATCCAAAACTGAAGCAGGGAACACAAAAGAACGAAAGAAAGARCTTGTAGAATACTCTAGACACAACCAGTCACTTGGAGTCGTTCCATGTGCTTAACAATATAAGAAATTTGAAAAAAAAATCATTGTGTTTTTGGCGACAGTTTGACATCTGTATTCATACCAAATGAAAAAAGAAAAGAGAAAAAAAGTATCAGTCAGCAAAACTGAAGACGCCACGAGACGCGAATTACTGTAACCTGAAATAAACGTTTCAGTTCATTCCATGTGCTTAACTCCAACTGAAGTTCACTATATAAGCTTCGCCAGCTGGTACCTGTGTATTTTTATTGCGTTCAAAAGAATAGGAACTATTATCTAAAGATTTCCATTGAAATGTAAATAAGAGTGAATTGTCCACACACAAAAACGGATGTGACGTATGGAATTCTGTTCACATGTCCGTGTCCAGGTAGTTTTGTTCTTCAGTCTAAGCAAATTATCAAGGACACCCATGGACAAGTGCATGGTAAAAAGCATGGTTTTTATCAAAACAAATCTTGACTTATTTATAAATCACCACAAATCGAACGCCTTGAAATCAACGCTCTGAAACGAGCAAAACTGGAATCTGAAAGTCCAAATGTTGGCCCATTTTGARCGGGGAAGTTCGGAGATCGATTGGTGTGAGGCGAACTATGAGTTTTCGCACAGCATTGCCGAGTTCTACAATACGGTAAGGGATGCCTGTTTTAAAAGATAAACGAAATTGTATCGCAACTTCAACTYTGTTTGTTTCAGATCAGCAACGTCGTGTTTCTCGTAATCCCACCGTTTTTCATGTAAGTAAATACAATTCAATTATATATTCTGGAACAGGACGCCTGAGGACAGTTTTTGACAGGATTAACGCAGCACTAAATTTATGCGCCATTTCTTCAATYTTACAAGTCAAAATCACATGGATAAGTCTGATGTATTCAACCCCTAAGAAAATTGGGAGAACCAGCGATTGGTTTCTTTTCGATGCGAAAATCCCGTCCGCTAGTATTTAAAATAACTACAGACTCATGCGTTTAAATATTTAGGATTATCCTGGCTCTCTTAAATCGGCTGTGCGTAAAATATACGTATTGTATTTCATCAGTACGTTGTCGTAGAAAAAGTAGGAATTTTTCACGGGAATCGATCACTTGCCTTAAGTGGCAAAGCATTTAAGATTAAAATCAACACGCCGTAATCGATGTTCACGTATCATTTGTCAAGTAAAGATTCAAGAATTTTATGGTTGGATTTCATGAATTAATTATTATTCTGTGTTCGAATCATGAACGAGCCGATTTTGTATTTTGACATCAAACAAGTGAAATGTTCCAAGAAAAAAAKATTTTTTGAATTGTCAGGGCATTATTTGAACTCCTAGCGGATTATCTATTTTGGTTATTTTCGTAGAGCATCTAATAAGGTGCTAATGGTGTAGATTTTAAAGCGATACATAACGATAGTCAATCTGTTTGCCAAGTAGGGGACCTAGCCATGTCAACTGAAAATCTCTTTTCGCATTTACCATTTGCATTTCTGATAGTTTGTGGTAAAGGTATAAAATAACCCTACGAATTCGTACACAGTATTGCAACCATTATTATTTTATAATCAAGTGTGATTTAAAGCCAGTCATTGTTTCTATTGTTATAATCAGGATAAAAAGAAAAATTACAATTATAATTATTTTTATTCTAAAAGAAATAATTATTATCGATCAAACACTAAATGAAATTTTTAAAGTGAATTTTTTGATTATTATTCTTATTTTTTGATTATGTTATCATTATTTTATATTGATTTGATTATATTGATTTATCTATCTTTTAAATATATATTTGCTATATCTTCATTTGTATGACTATTAAATATTGTGCAAAGTTGGGCTGCCTGTGCCCCTGAGAAACTTCAAAGTAAAATTATACTCATGAWTTATCATAAATTATCATATATTATGCATAATATACTGCCATGATTATTATCTTTTTCTTATTATTTATTACTACAATCATACTTGGTATATTTAGCATTATTTTTTTTGCATGAACATTTCAAGATTTTATCACAAAAAAATATGAATGTTGAGTGGGGAAGAGCACTCAGGAAGCAAGATGAACACTTACTGCACTTGTGTTGCTTAGCTAGTTTCTCTTGTGCTCTTGAATACTCTTCTATGATGTCCATATCAGATGACAGACACAAGTACAGCCATTTTTTCTTAACTAAGATAAACATAAAGAACAAACAAACTCTTATCAAGCTTGGCCTGAACTGTTGTTATCCTCCTTGCAGCCATTTCCAGTTGATTTTCAGTGTTGTCACWAAAAATGAGTAATGGTGTGCCAGTGCTACAAATGAAGAGGTTTTTGAACGAAACTAGTTTTCACTGAATTAACAGTTTATTGTGTACCTTTTAGACTTATAGTAAGGGTACTTCACCTTAAATATATTCCTACGAGTGCTACAAATGGCTGTGACTTTATWTTGAAACTAACTTAACTAAATATTCTTTAGGTACCTGTTTCGGCCATATTCAGCACACATTGGTCAAGGAATCAACTTAATCTTCTTTCTGTTGGTTGTTATTGGTGTTTGTTCAGCATACTTTCATGCAACGCTTAGTCTYGTTGGTCAATTATTAGATGAGCTGGCCATATTATGGGTTATAATGGCTGCGTTTGCAATGTGGGCTCCAAAATGGATCATCAGGATTTGTCCATTTTATGGAAATAGGTATGTGATTCATCTTGTTACTGTGAATAAAAGAGTAAAGGTATAGAGATTTGTTATCACTATCATGGCGGATTTACTTGGATTGGTATAATCATCAATCATCAGCTATCATCATCATCATTTACTTTATGACAATGATTTATATAATCATCAAACTCAATAATATTTTTAATTTACGATATTCGRTACTCAGATTCAGTGAGCATGAACAAATCATTGAGCGTAAGCTGAGCATGAAAAAGATGTGACGCCTCGGTTCAATTCTTTCATTTGCGGTCACTGAACCTGAGTATGCAAAATCGTTAATAATAAAAATGGATTTTTAACATAAAACTAAGGGATTTGATAACTATAACACTCCTTAATATTACCATTTTAGGCACCGACTTGTATATTTGATGGTCTTGTTCGGTGTATTTGGTACTTTACTCGGTTTCATTCACCCCATTGTAAATGCCTTTGCACTATTGTCACTTGGACCACCATTAGTCAGCCTTCTTGTCTATGAAGTTATGGGGTAAGTAACGATAAATTATACTACAATATTTTCACGTTTATCGAGCTCTTGGAGTTATTAAAATGTAAGCTTAAGTAGACGATGCTAGACCTAGCTCCATAGCTCTCTTAAAATTTCAGATATTTTATAGTCCTTCGCTGTCTCGTTTTCGGATTTCCTTGTGTAAATATTTTCTTACATTTTCCTAGAGTAATTTGGCCAAGTAGAATACTCTGAATTATATTTCTTTTGAAAGAAACTGACCTTTTAGTTAATTATCACWSSAMWMG